TGCAAAACTACAGTAATATGAAATACATGAAATGCTTGAATTCATAACAAATGTTAAAATGGAAATGTATGGAAGAAAATGAATGTTCAGAATATTGTGAAAATGAAGTTCCCTTTTACTGGTTTTTCCCTTGGAGCCATGAATCGTCCCCTGCCCCCCTCTACTGATCGCACAAGTCGCTCCTACACTGCAGCATAGTTGTTTGAGCCTTCAATGCGCAAAATCAAGAGATGGGGCAGGGAGAAATGAAAGGAATGTGTCACCTTAACTGAGATCCAATTAATCCTAACCATTCGATTGATCTGACTGTTGCATGTGCAACTAAGTGCAAAGAAAAGGTCGCTGCTACCATGCTGACGCTAGATTAGGGGATTAATTAAGGACAATTAAACTTATAACTTCATAATTTTGTATATTCTCATACGTTAAAAATTCATGCATAGTGCCTATGTATTCAATTGATAGATTCGATATGTAGAATTTTATAAAATTGATTTGGTCGAATTTCAATGGATGTGAACTTTAGAGTATACTTGAAATTTCTAAATTTTTATATGTTTCTCAAATTTGAGTTCTACATAACCACAGCCAACCAAACTCCAACCAGGGCAATCACAACCACAACCAACAAAATCTCAACCAGAGTAAGCCCAACCACAACCAATAAAATCAATCAGAGAAACCCCAACCACAGCCAACTGAACTCTAATCAGAGCAACCCCAACCAAGATAGTGTGGAATGTACACCCTAAACCAAATAGTGATACCAGAGTTAACCCAAACCATATTAGAACACTGAATTATTATTACTAAAATGCAACAATTACACTGAAGACTCCTTCAAGACAGAAAATAAACAGTAGACGAATACAACAACAAGATTCTCCTGCAACGACGAGGTGAAATGACCCTTGGACAACAAGTAGAGGGTGGGAATATGCGGTGATTATAACATCAAGGGAGAGGAGGGGTTTTATGGGAGAGGGCCAGGTAGTGTGGCATATCTGGAGAAGTGGATGACTGGGAATGACAAATAGTGGGGCCTGAGGTGACTTCACGCGGGTAATAAAAGGGTTAGGGGGGTTATGGTAATATGCGTGTGGCGTAGGGGGAGTTACAAGTTGGACACTGAAAAGGGGGCTACATGCAGGTTGTTGGACTGCAACTGGGAAGAAACTTGGGCAAGCAGCAAGGGTAGAGCAGTAGTAGGTGAGTGGAAGAAGCAAGGGAATACATGGAGATAATCACCACCTCGGGTCAGAATATAGTCGAAGCACCTCTCATCATTGAATACATCCCTAGTAGGGAATGGAGTGGGAATACCAACGGCTGTTCAAACAAGAATCTCACTCCAAGAATTGACCCTAAATAGAGAAATAATATATAAATAGAAGTTGCTTAAGCGGGAAAAGAAAACAAGAAGGGCGGCATTATTCCCGCCCAATGAAAATAGGGCGAAGGACTGATCCAGCCTCTTGTTGGTCCA